ACCTGCCGTCCATCTCCATTCTGCTGCATTCTACTCCTTCTTTGACACGCCCCTCCCTATCTCTACAAAATGCAGTCTATTTTCCCATGCAATCGCATCCTTAGTACCTCCTAATCTGAAGCTAATAGGCAAGTGTTTAGTTTTAGTTACTTGTAGCTTAACCTTTTAGTGGTACAACTCCTTTAGTTCCTTAGCCTGTTTCCACCTCAAGTCAAAGATGAAGTCAAGTTTCTACAATCTCATGCAAAGTGCAGGTGAGTGTCATGGTTTAAAATCAGTCAGAGGGTCAAACAAAGGACAATAGGGAGCCTGAAAAGCAAAACTCTTTAAAGGAAAACAAATGGATGAGGTGGGTATAGGCCTGTGACTTCACAAAGCTACATTGCTCTTAGCCAATCTCTTGCAGGTTTCCACCATAGCAATGGCTTAATTAACCATGCATATTTTAGTCACAGAGAACATAAACCTAATTTCCTTGGCATAAGTGGATATCAGAGTGGGTACAGAAGGGACAGGAAGAATGGTGGCTGTGTAGGGCTCTCCTTAGGGTTCTGTCTAGCATAGCCTTATTAATTGAATGGATCTTTTAATAGGCTTGCGGCACTTGACAGCTCTTTCCTTCCTAATGAATGACACCTCTGCAAATGAAACAACGGCTGTGAGTTAAATCTGACAGTGCTACAACATGGGTGCAATTTCTCAAGTAGATAAAACCCATGCAAAAAATGGATAAAGACTCACCGATATAATAGCCTCTGAACAGTGACAAATCTCGTATGTATTCTTGCCATTTCTGATTCTGATCCTTTGCCTTTCTCTGGAAGCTGATTTTTTTTTTTTTGCTTTGTTTTAATTACAGTGATTCTTGCTATTTAGAACTGTGGTGCCAGGTGAGATAACTGACACACTCCCAGCCTCCTCCCACAAACAGACAAACACATCCTGATATAATCAACATTTTATATTGAATAAAGATGCGTAGTAAGTTGTGGGTAAAAAAAGGCCACCACTTGGATTGGCTTCAGAAGCACAATATGGCTGGGGTTTCTCCCTGTGCTACTGGACACCTAAGATTGGATGGCCATCAGCACTTCCCCCAGAAAGAAGGCACTCAGCATGGTGGCAGCCAGGGGCCCAGTAAGCACATGGGGTGACCCCTGTTTCTTGTGGCACGTCTGACTGCCAGTGCCTTACTTTCTCTGATGTTGTATCAAGACTCTCTAAAGCACTGGTCTCCAACCCTGGGCTTCCAGATGTTCTTGGACTTCAACTCCCAGAAATCCTGGCCAGCAGAGGTGGTGGCGAAGGCTTCTGGGAGTTGTAGTCCAAAAATATCTGGAGGCCCAAGGTTGGGGACCACTGCTAAAGGGATTGTAGTTGCAGCTTTCCATTTCCCTCTGACTTCACCGTCTACAGTCCCAATCCCACTGCATGTACTACACAGACATCTAAAATTCTGGCTAACACTTCATACTCCTGACTGTAACTTAGTAGCTAGGTTACAGTCCATGGAAGCTCGTGGGGTAATTAATAAATTTCTGTGTATTTAAGGAACAAGATAAGATTCTTTGGCCTTTGCTCAAGGCAGCTTCCAGGAGCTTTTAAATCCCCAGAATCTCAGAATTTTTATTTCTGAGAGCAACCTGAAAAACTGAATCCCTCTGATCTACAGTATTTAAGAAGGCCACACGTTTTCAAAAGACACATTAATGCTCTGACAGATCACTTTAGTGGTCTCAAAGTCACTCTGTGGTTGCATTTTAATATTATGCAAGCTTAAATACTTTTTTAATATTGTGACCATTATTGTATTTTTAATTTTAATATTTGCTTTAATACCAAAAACTGCCTTGTGTTCTTTTTTGGAGAAAGATAGTTATAATTTTTTAAAAATGAAATGATATTTGCACATGTAGTATGCTACATTTCTATAAAGACCACAAGACTTTTTAAGTTTGTTTTGTTTTCATTTTTCATGCGAGTGTGCAGAGACACCAATTTTCTGCAGAAACACTGGGCATTTTTAAATTATTATTGGTGAATGCTTGGAAACTGTAGATTTGAGAAACAGTGAGGGAATATCTTGAACTGGAAAGTTGGTACAGTTATGCAAGGTAACAAAGGTTGACAAGGAACATGGTAAAGAACTCTTCATAGAGTAAAATGTAATCACACCAATTTGTTCTCCTTTTGAATAATGACTCCATCCTTCCTGCCCCCTTCCTTGCCTTTTTCTGCTGCCATCATTCAACAGGCCATGACAACTTTCCTTTGTCAAAGCTTATCATCCTGCTCCCAAATCAGCTCCTCAGTAATGGGCTCCAGCTTCTCCGTTGCAAACCCCCAGGGCCCTCTTTCTCATCAAAACTTCCACCAAGAGTCCCAAGCTCTGAGGAAGGCCCCAAACCTTGACCTATGCCATCCTTTAATGCTGCCAACAGTACCCCTCCTCCTGTCCCACCAGCTATTCCCATCTTCCAGCTTCCCAGCAACACTTGGGTTTCCCTCCTCCTAACCTTCCTGAGAGCCCAGCACAGCTGCTTCACCCATGATCTTAGGGTAGTTTGAGGCAAGGGCAGATGTCCTGCCATGGGTGCTGGTAGCAATCGTCTCACACACAGAGGAGTGATTAATGCATTTTTTCCATTTTTGTGAAATAAGACTTCAAAGGAATTCCATACTTATGCCCTGTAGAGTGTAGACCAATTAAATGCAGCAAATATATTTCCATACTCTGACAAGTAAGAGAAACGTGTGCTCTGACACTCAGATGCTTTCATTAGTTAAGGATTTTCATCTTCTGGTTACAGGCTAACTCTAACATGTGTTTTGGCCTAAGGGGCTGGGGAATTAAACCAAGATTGCAAGATGTTAAAAAACAACGGTTAACTGAAATCAAGAAAAGAAATGCAACAAGAGTCATTGCACCAGAGATCATTATTTATGATTAGACATGGGGACAAATATAAAAACAAATCAGAATATTCATTAAATATCCCTGATTCGTCAGATATTCATTGATACCCAGAGACCCCAATGAATACGAAGCAACGAATATAACCCTTTTATATTCGTCCCTTCGTTCGCTATCTGCTTCTGCCCCCCGTGGATCAGCTGTTCCTCAGGGGCATAAGCAGAGAGGGTTTGTCCCTTTAGGCAGCTTGCTAAAGCCTGCCCAAAGGGAATCCCACCCCTGGGGCTGGGATACGGCTTGATTTCCCTTTCCTCCTCTTCCTATGCCTGCAAGGCATAAGAACAGGAGTGGAGGGATCAAGGAGCTATCAAAGAGGGATCAAAGTGATCCCCAGCCACAGCACAATCACTTTGATCTCTGCTTTCCCTCTTTTTCAGGGGGCTTAGCAAGAGGAGGGGAAAAGGGATCAGAGCAGGGCATGATCACTTTGATCCCTGCTTTCCCTCCTCTTGTTATGCCCCATGGGCCTTAACAAGAGAAGGGGGAAAGGGATCAAAGCAACCCCGCAGCCACGAATGCACATTTGTTTTGATCCCTCTTTCCCTCTTCTCCCCCCACCCCGTGGGGCTTAGCAAGAGGGGAAAAGGGATCAAAACCTGCTTTCTCTCCTCTTGCTATGCCCACAGAGCAAGGGACATAGCAATCTGTATCTTGGGAGGTTGTTCTTCATCATAGAACTAAAGAAAGTTTATGGGTTTCCTACTTGTCACCCCTCCAGAAAGCAACAGGATCTAGCCCTACTTCTGCAGGAGGCAATATTTTTTGTTTCTCAAGTGATCTGAGATTCTCTGTTTCTTTGTCAAGTGGTGAAGAGGAACTCATAAGCTACAAGGAAATGAATGATACCACTGGACCATAGTACAAAGCCAGGGAAGACTGGGAGGATAAATTAGCTCCTTCTTAACCAGCAGCCCAGGGAGGGCAGTCTCCTTAAAACATTAAGAACTGGACATGTCAAACAAAGACTTTTCTAGCAAGGATATAAAAATGACTGACTGTGCATTGATAACATCCACAGAGACTTCTGCAGCTAATGTACATGAACGACTCACTGACAATAAAGAAATAATATATTTTACATGAAATCTCTGACACCATTGCCTGCAATTTGCAGCAATAGCCCTGATAAGGCCTTCATTTGCTAACCTTTCATCATTTCAACTGGCATCTCTCACTTGCAGTAAAATATAATAATAATCACTAAGCTATTAGGGAAGAACTATCTAAATTGCTTGTGTGCATGCATATGCTATGAGAAAGAAGAGATTCCATGTAACCCAGTGTAACAGAAATTTGCATCACACTGTTCTCCTGCATCATGATCACAGCTGAGAATAAGGGGACAAAAAGGATCTGATGGTATCATCAGTACTGGTTCAGCAAGGTTTTCAGACTCATTGATAAAAGTATTCTGATACTAGATGCAAATTCATGGGCTCAGTATGCTCTCAAAGACAGCCTGCTCCTTGATTCTAAATGTATAGTCATCCCCTTGAGCAATTATTTTATCATAGGCTTAACTGAGTTCCAGAGTTCTGCTTTAAAACAAATATCCCCTTGAGCCACTATATTATCTGAGTTCCAGAGTTCTGCTTTAAAACAAAAGTTCTAAGTAGATCCTGGAAGTCTGATATCTGTGATGAATGTTGTATAGTACAGTGTTTGGAATGCTGGACTGGGATGCGGAAGATCCAGGTAGATAAGATAAAATAGTTTTTTTATAAGATAAAATGAAGGAAAATATGTGTTGTTGTTTTGTCTCATTGGTAAAAGCCGGGATAATGCGAAAAGTAAGTGAATGAAAATAATGACTTAGAACACCTTCCAGCAGTTCCTTCAAGGTTATCTTTAACAGGTTCTCACACAGTCAAGAAATCCAAGAAGCCAGGATTCCCACCTCATGGAAGGTTACTAGATACAAAATCATTGCTCGAGTGTAAAGTCTTATATTACAGTTATTTTATTTTATTTGCAATGATAGCAAATGTCCACCTCACACCATAGAGGTTTGAGAACCCAGACCTACCTCTAACAGATGCCCTCTTAGGTAAGATGGTGACTGATCCCTCAGCCACCTCTTCTAGATCTCTCACTGGGGCAATTTTGGAACCCCAGCTATCAGAGCCCATCCAAATGAAGTGTCCAGTCTGGTTGGCCCTCTTTGCTGCCATCAACACATTCCTGCAGAAAAAAAGACAGAGTGCCAATTTATGAAACCATCAAGACTTCTACATTTTATTTAATGTGAACACTGTAACAAAGAGCAAGAAAGACAGATCTCACATTGTACCTATTATATTGACACTAACAAAGAAGAGCTTCCCATGTCTAGTCCAATCACATCCAGCAAGCAGCCTCTTCAGATACCAATTTCCATGACACTAGGAGACATTTATTACATTTGCTCCTCTCTACAGAGAGATGGGAACAGATGCAAACTAGAGAGATGTCCACATGTGTTGGGGGAGGGGGAAATAGATCCCAGAATGCCCCTGGCCTGTTGCTGGGGAAAAAAAACAACCCACAAATCTGCACACTTCTAATGAAAATCAATATACTTTCAGTGACCATCAGATGTCATGAGAAAAAAATCTGGGAGCGTAGCACACTCGTGCTGCATCCATTCAGGCTGTTTCTCAAGCTGGATATGCAATCATTCCTCACCTGCATAACCCACAAATACAGGACAGGACAGAAAGAATGAAAAGGGAGGCAGAGACACATAGGGTGAGGCACATGCTACCCTTCTGTCTGTTTTACTCGCATAAAGAGGCAACTCCAAATTCTGATGCTGGGAGGCCACCACTAGACCTTTTCTAGACAGGTTGCCTCCCAAAAACTAAAAGTATTGTGTCCCCTTTAGAACTATTGACCTCAATGCAATCAATTATTCCTGAAAACTCAAGCCCTAAATTTCAAGGCCTGACAGCTCAGTCCTATGCAGTTTCCTGTTGCCAATACCATCCTTCTTCATCACACTTGGGTCCCCTCCCATCTCCTCACCATGTCGGGGGAAATTCCTGGTGAATTCTGGGAGCTGAAGTCCAAGGAATATGAAATATTTATGCCCATTAGTTCTCACGACACATCCCCATGCAATTACATTCTATTTTTAATCTCCACAGCTTCTTCTTCCTTCTTAAGGGGGCTGGCAAGCTGGGGATCTGGCAATGCCAAAAGGAACTCTTTGATGTCATGGAGGCAGGCACTAGAAACAATTCAGTTGAGTTAGTGATAATTTTGGTATGCAAAATTAATGTAATGGCTGCCATGTCTCCCTTTTAGGTCATGTGAGCTACTACTCAAATCTACAGTATGACTATACAGTACAACTTATCACATATATCATAAGTACATTTGAAACCCTGCAACTCAAGTGTGCATTTCTGTTCTCTGCATCTATAAAGTAGACAGGAGTACAGCACTGAAGTGCCAAGCAGGGGTTTCACATCTGGAACAACTAGTGCAGCCTAAGGATATGGTCATGGTTCTTGGAAAGATGAAAGCTACCATATGTGTGCTGGATCCTTGCTTTTCCTGGCTTATAAAAGTAGCCAGAGGGGGACTGGCTAAGTGGGTGAGGGACATGGTGAATGCCTCCTTTGCAAGCAGTAAGTCGACCATTCTTGAAGATGCCCTTCTTGAATCCCATAGTATTGGGCAACTATTGGCCAGTCTCAAATATTCTATTTCTGGGCAAGATACTGGTGCATGTGATGGTTTCTCAGATCCAAGGATTCCTGGATAAGGCAGATTATCTAGAGTCATTTCAACCTGGCTTCTTTCGCAGATATGGGATGGAGATGACTTTGGTTTCCTTGGTAAATGACCTATCCTGGAACCTGGACAAAGGGAACATGTCAGTGACTTGGGATCCTATTGACCATGATATCTTTCTGGGTCATCTCTTTGGGATAGAATTTGGAGATACAATATTTTTCCATTTATAACACACCCCTGTTTATAAGGCACCCCCCTTTTCTAATCCAAAAATTAAGAAAACATAGCTTTGAGTATTCATTCTCTGGGCTCAGAATGCTTGGACATTAGGAGTCCCTGTTGAATCTGAGCCTGCAGGCTCCATCTCCAACAAGTCATGTTCTAATTGGTTTGTACAGCATCAGCTGACGTCAGTTCCATAAGGTTCATGATTGGAGGAAGCCAGGTCTCCTGAGTGTAGGAAGCTAAGCCTTGTGACTGAAGGAAGCTTATTTACAGAGGCAAGGTATGTGCCATTTTGTTCTCTCCTTAGCTAGCTTACTTCCGTGTATAAGATGCACCTCAATTTTTAGTGTAATGATTTTAGGAAAAAGTAACATCGTATACACGGAAAAATATGGTACTGCTTTACAGTGGCTCCAGTTCTTCCTTGAGAAGAAGATTTAGTGGTGGGGGACTTGTATTCAATGCCTTGGCCATTGGCCTGTCATGTTCCTTAGGATTCTGTTTTGTCTTCCATGCTATTTAATATATACATAAAACCACTGGGAAAGATTGTCCAGAAGTTTGGTGTTTGGTGTCATCAGCATGCCAACAATACCGAAATCTATTTCTTCTCTCTGTCTAATTCCACAGAAGCTGTTTTACTGGTGCCTAGTATCAATAATGAGAACAAGCAAACTGAAATTTAATCCAAACAAAATAGAGGTGCTCCTGGTCAATCAAACCCCAAAGATGATGAGACAAAAAGCAAAACAAAACAAAACAAAAAACACCAGTCTCCAGGATTGATTGACATTCTGTAATTTTCACTTTGACCAATGACTTGGTCATTTCCATTTCTCTTTGTTTGTTTTGAGGTTTTTGGTTGTGCTTGGTGTTGTTGCTGTTGTTGTTAATTCAAACTTCCTTGTAGCACCAATCTGAATGAGGCAGGATATAAATCAATGAAATAAAAATAAATAATGAATACATTCAACTGTATACGTATAGTATATGATTTGATCAACTTACTTCACCAGTGCTGAATATAATGATTTCTGTCTTTACATTTTGCTCTTTAATTAAGCAGGTTATCTATATTTATTTAATGCAATTATTTATATCCTACTTTCCAAGATACATTTTTCCATAGGAGAAAATGTGTGTCTAAAAAAAAGTACACAACATTCATCACATCCCAACTCCTCTACTACATCCTATCTAGAAAACGCTTCCAGGGATTGCTATTTTGAAGGGACAGTGGTCCCGTCAGGGGCAAAGGGCTGTCAATGAAAACAGTGGGGTTCAAATTGACATGGAGTATAAACAACTGTGGTGGTGTGCCTGTGTGTCTGTGTGAGTTTAAATAAGCCTTTAACAAGGAAACCAAAGAGAAAGGTGCCCAGTGGATCAATGGAGACTTTGTCAATAGCAAGGCTGATTAAAAAGCGATTAACAGAGCAGTGGCAGTGAGACTTAATGACAGACAAACGCAAAGCCCTAAGGAAAAGGCAAGTATTTTTGGAAAGCAATGAATAACAGAAGGAAAGAGAAGGAATTGAATCAGACAAGAGGGGAGAGCAGCCACAGAAAGGATCTTGATGGTTTGTTTGTTTAAAGGCAGGGAGATCAGGGTAGTTGTTGCAGAGTGAGCCTAACCTATCAATTCTAAAGGAAATCAAGCCTGAGTGCTCACTGGAAGGACAGATCCTGAAGCTGAGGCTCCAATACTTTGGCCATCTCATAAGAAGAGAGGACTCTCTGGAAAAGACCTTAATGTTGGGAAAGTGTGAAGGCAAGAGGAGAAGGGGACGACAGAGGATGAGATGGTAGGACAGTGTCATCGAAGCAACCAACATGAATGTGACCCAACTCTGGGAGGCAGTGGAAGATAGGAGGGCCTGGCGTGCTCTGGTCCATGGGGTCACGAAGAGCCGGACACGACTAAATGACTAAACGAATGAACGAGCCTAACCTTCACTTAACCTTCACTCTTTCTTTATAGCAGCATTTTTTAAAAAAATTATGTTGTGTTGTGACAGTTAATAAATGCTTTTGCTTAGTCTGACAAACTGACCGGATGTGGGGTGGCAGGGAGAACAGAGGAAAAGAAATAGTAGGGAATTACACAAGGTTAGCCAGCAGATCAATATAACTGCAGGAAATGGCCAAGTGTAGGGTCAGTCTACTGTCTGTTAGGTCATAGAATTATTGGCCAAATAAGAAGGGAACATACCTGAAAGATCATGAATGGCATGGGCAATATAAACATTGCCAGGTAAAAACCTATGGAATCATTTCCCTTTTGAAAAGAGCCCTTCACATTGCCTTCATTGAACTAGCATTCACACAAATATAGCTTGGAAAAAATTACTTTTTTGAACTATGACTACCAGACTTTTCCAGCCAGTGGCTGCGTAAACTGCAGAATACTGGGAGTTGTAAATTTTTAAAATAACTTTTCCAAGCTGTAAAGATAAGAAAAAGCTAATTTCTCATTTCAGGAATTTAAGGGCCATTCATGAATTTGTGGAAAGAATAAAAATTTTGTACATACATGTGATATTTTGAAACACACAAAGGCATATCCACACTAAAAAAAAAAATCTTCCTCAGATTCCTTATTTGGTGATTAGGAGCTCTTTTTGTTTGAACAAGACCTGGCTAGATGGTCTCCTAAGAAAGGTTTAATTCACTTTCTCAGTCATCCAAATTGGCATAATTATTATAATAATGCTGCTTTCAAATTTGCCGTGAAAGAATTTTAAGGGCAAATTGCCCTCAAAGAGTGTTCTAAGGTCTTCAAAGTATTCACAGACTTCCTCCATAGATGTGACAGGAAGGAAGGAAGGATCTGCAACATACTATTTGGTCCAGTAATTTTACCAATGTTAAAAACTGGATCTACCAAGTTTCTCAGCTGAAAGCATCACTGAACCAAACAATCTCGACGTGTTTCTTTAGTAATCCTACTACGCCTTGGTCACTTTCTTGGGGAAGCTTCCCAGACAGGGTAAACTAGCACACTAAAATCAATGAATTAGAACTCCAGCCAACAAAAAATGGGAAGGGTTTCTGGGCTACACCACTTCATATCTCTAGGAAATATGATTTTTTTTTAATCACATAAAACCTGCAAAGTCATTTGGGCTGAGAGAAAGAGATGGGCCCCAAATTATCCATTAAACTTCAGAGTTAAAGGAGGGTTTGAATCTAAGGGAAAGAATAAAATGTTCACAAATACCTAGCATATCTGGAAAGACACAAAGGCATACCTACACTAATAAAGACCTTGTCAGATTCTTCCTATAATGATATGAAGCTCTTCCCCTGTGAACAAGCCCTGGCCCAGAGAGTCTACCAGGAAAGGTTCAACTTCACTTCCCCAAACATGCAAATTGGCATAATTATAATAACACTGCTTTCAAATTCACACTGAAGGAATTTGGGGGGATATATTGCCCTCAAAGAGGGCTCTAAAGTCTCTTAAAAGATGAGTGCAGGACCATAAGCAGCTTTCACCACTTTCTCTTTTGCCTTTGTCCTGCACGTGGTGGTGCTGCGGGCTAAACAGCAGAAGCCTGTGCTGCAGGGCCAGACGAACAAGCAGTCGTAAGATCGAATCCACGTGACGGAGTGAGTGCCCGTCGCTTGGTCCCAGCTCCCACCAACCTAGCGGTTCGAAAGTATGCAAATGCAAGTAGATAAATAGGGACCACTTCGGTGGGAAGGTAACAGCGTTCTGTGTCTAAGTCGCACTGGCCATGTGACCACGGAAGATTGTCTTCAGACAAACGCTGGCTCTATGGCTTGGAAACGGGGATGAGCACCACCCCCTAGAGTCAAACACGACTGGACAAAAATTGCAAGGGGAACCTTTACCTTTACCTTTTACCTGCACCAGTTGTTCCATAAAACGGAAGCCATGTGAGCACAGAAGCTGGGAATAAGCAATGGTTAAAAAAAGAAAGAAAGATTCCCTCCATTGACCACACTCCACCCAGAAATGACGTAGTTAGTACTAAAATTTGGACAGGCCTGAATGGGGAGGACTCCAATCTGTCTCTGCAGAGAAGGTCTGAGGTCAACTGTTCTCTTTTGTGCTGGGCCATGATGAGGAAAATGGAGATAGATGACACAGATCCGAACTGACGGAATATCGGCAGTGTGAATTTACACCTTATCATGGCAACTGCAGCTTCTCATGAGATGTATATGACATGAGTGTGCTACCTCTTGCAGTTATATCATTTACAGGTTTAAGAAAGATGGCAGCATTGAAAATAGAGCAAGAAAATTAGCATAAGAAGCAAAACATTTGGTGTTCAGAGAATCACAAAAGCTCAAATGACCAGGACTGTGTGCTATGTCTTGAAACACACACACGAACAGAGAGAGAGAGAGAGATTTTCATGGCTCATAAAATGATCACATTGATAAATCCTAAGAGAGGCATCTGGCCACAACAGTAAACATCAGCCTATCATTGCATGAAAAGGACAAGATTTCCAGATGTGTTTAAGCTATTGCCAACAGGGTGCAATTTTCTAGCTTACAAACCATTCTCAGATAGGTAAATGTTTACAAACCCTGTTTAATGATGCTTGTCATTTACACTGCAAAGCAAATCCCTGATATTGTTGGAAGTAAATGAGTGTAAATGACTGGACTTCAGACATTTCTATTAGCCAGCTTCCCAGAAACTTAGATTGTTTGCATATTTGATGTAAACTGCTGGAAAATGTCAGTTCACTCACATTTGCATATTGTTTGCTGATTAGAAAATTAGACAGTTGCAAAATCAGGTGCAACTCAGTATAAATTGTTAGGGAAGAAAGAAAGGGGGGGAGAAAGACCAAACGGTATAGAGCAGTTTTATTTATTCAAACTGAATACTGGTTCCACTCACTCTGCTCAGATGGACTGTATTTAGTTCTCCAGTGACTTACACAAAACTTGCAACCATGGAAAATCTGCTACTGTATTGTTTACAAAATGCTGCCCCATATCCTCTTGCATAAAGTTACTCCTGTGTGAGCTGGTGATGTCATCAGCCACAGGTTTTTTATTACTCATTAAATATTTCTTATTCCACAACATGCACACAAGTTCAAATGGTCCCTTGGAATCCCTTTTGAACTGCAGAAGCCTTTGGGAATGTGAGGATGAGTAGGGGCCTTTGATGCTCTTAAGTCACTGCCAATTGTTCCAATCTCAGTGGCATGACCATTGATGGAGATTTTGGGCCATTAAAAGCCTCCGCCCCATCACAAAAAAAGGGGATGCAGTGACCCAGTAATTCTGCATATTTTGATCATAATCAAGAGTGAGAAAGAGAGACTGGGAAAGAAGCAAGCTCATCCTGGAGCACATTTAGAGGTTCTCTATTCCTTTAACATTCCTCCCCATCTTATCCTTCTATCTCAATCTCTTTTCCCTTCTCTCTCTTTTTTCTCTCTCCTTCCCACAGACAAAACCATTACCCTCTTACTTGATATCATCTTCATTGGCAAATATGATGACAGCTCGAGCATTGGATGTTTCCAGGAGGCGTCGAATGATCTTATCAAACTCTCCTGGTTTGGGCTCCCGAGGGATCTTGACTGATTGTGCCACACACACGCTCCCTGTGGTTGGACAAAATGGCATCATTAGAGAAGCCTTTAGACAAAAGTACCAAACAACACAGAGCCTGGGGTTCCTTTGTCCACAGATTGCATGAGTGGACTAATGAAAGTCATCTCCTTCCATCATTGCTCATGATGATCTCCTTTTAATGTGCTTTCTTCAGTATATTGAAACATAAATGTCACTGTGACTTTAAAAGTGGGAGAGCTCTGGAACATTTGTCATGGACACAGATGAGCAATGCAGGTGTGTGACACCTTGTCCTGAGATGACTGTGTAAGGCAGGTGGCTAACACTAAATTGTAGCTTCAGTGCCTGGAGTTCAGATGTGAAGACTACACAAAAGGGCATTGATGGAACCTTGAAAAAGACTTCACATAAACTATATTCAACCATTTTAAAAGTGTCTTTCCTCAGCATGTGAAAAAAGGTAAGCAAAACAGTTGCCGCTCCTCTGTTTCCAGTTGTGTCACCCTTTGCAATAGAAGGGGAGAGCCTAGCACACATCTCCTTCCATGCTGGGTAAACACTATAATGGGCTTTAACTAGCTATAGTGCTCTACCCTCACATCAAGGGCTTATATTCTTACATATCTTTGTGGGAAGGGATACTCATTTGGACCTGATTTATTCCGTAATACATATAATCCAGTTTCTCTCCTACTGATTCCTGTACAGCTGACCAGAAATCTGCAGGTGAGATCCCATATCTCACATTTCCTCTTCACAGCTACCCCAGACCATCTATACCAGTGTTATCTTCTCCAGGCTGGCACTAGCTCTCCAAAATTTCCACCAGGATGCTTTTTTCACCCTGCCTGAAGATTCTTGGCTTGTCCTGTGGTCTCCCATCTCAGTATCAACTTGGCCAAACCCTACCAAGGTCATGAAATGACTTCTGCTCCACTCACTATTCCTTTTAGGGTCCTTATTCTCAGCCAATAACCGCACACATATTCTTCCAACCAACTCACCTAAGGTCTCCAGTGAGAAACTTCAGAACTTTGGCTAGGGTCCAGATGGGAGGACAGAATCCCAGACAAACTTATACAATAAACCTCTTTATGTTCAAAGTGGAATGAGAACTTACAAAGCATCCCAAACAGACTAACACATGCCTGTCTCAGTATCAACTTGAGAAGACTGATACTATGACAAGTACTTTCACAGGTTGACAAAAGGAGCCAAATTCATACTGAGCATAGGGACAACAGTGGTACTCAATGGCACTACCACATCAAGGGATCTCTTATGTTCTCACATGGCAGCACTGTGCCATACTAGGAATTTTTCAGATGGCACCCAAATCATCATCATAATCATTAGAACTAACATGTTACTGTTAAATCATTAAAGAAAATCAACTAGTTATCATTAAAACATTAAAAATGCATGAATTAATTTGTGCTTGATTCACCACATACTCTGTGAAATTGCTGCATTAGGAATACCATTTAAAAATTACCAAAAAATGGCCAATAGCAAACTAAAATAAAAAGAAACATTAATCATTAATCAAAAAATAATGTCTTTGCAACTGAATTTTTAAAATAACAAATTTTACAATCGTTATTGAACAATTTAATGAACATAGGGTAACTACTTAATTTTTAATCAATTATTTCAAAGCTCTATATATCCAAAAACAGTAGGATACAAACCTGCACTGCCGTTCTCTGGTAGTTATGTGGTGGTGGTGGTGGTTTTGATACAAATAGTTTTGGTATCCATAGAGGCAAATGAATTGGTATTAATTATGAATTAATTCACATTTCATTTGACTCAGATGGTAAGGCCTCCCAGCCAAGTTGTCCAAGTAGATTTGCTTTGCTATGGCTCCAGCTGCAGGGGTGTTGATTTCTAGTGCCTTTTGTGCAGAGAGTCGGATGGATGAATCCATATGATTCAGTGCATATGATTCAATATACACCATGGTTCAATGAGAGCTTGCACATATCAGAGTAACTTTTGATTACATATAATTAGGATTATAGTATTAATACCTGCATGTTACATAATTGATTTACAAGAGGTACCAAGTTGATTTCCCGTCACCTCAATATATGTGTGGGAAATCCCGAACAGCTACTGCCAGTCAGTGTTAGCAACAGAGAACTGGAAAAGCCAATGGCCTGACTCAGTGTAAGACAGTTCCTATGTTACTTTCTAGTACAGTGGTGCCTTGCATTACGACGTTAATTCGTTCCAGCGAAATCGCTGTAGAATGAAAATGTCGTAATGCGAAAATAAAAAACCCATTGAAACGCATTAAAACCCGTTTAATGTGTTCCAAAGGGCTGTAAACTCACCGTCCAGTGAAGATCCTTTTCGCTGCCTGTGCAGTGAGGAATCCGTCCCAGAAAACAGTGGGGGGCCATTTTGTTTACCTGGTGGCCATTTTGAATCCACTGATCAGCTGTTGGAAAATCGTTGTTTTGCTAAGAAACGGTTCCTGAAGCAGGGAACCAATCATCGCAAAGCGAAATTCCCCCACAGGAAACATCATTTTGCGATCACAAAAGTGATCGCAAAAAGTTCATCATAATGCGGTTTCATCATTAAACGAGGCAATCGTAAAGCGAGGCACCACTGTATCTGCCCAGCTTTTCTCTTGCTGACTGAAAAAAAATATGTGCATGATAACAGTTTTCTAGTCCTTTTTCTCAACTATCTCGCCATGTTTATCATCAGAGAGACAGGACATGGAACAAGAGGCTTTAATTGTCAACTTTACTGCATTGCATGCAAAAACAAAGGAAAATAAAAGAACAAATAAAAAGAATAAAAACACTGTGGCACCTTAAAGACTATATTGCATGCAAAAACAAAGGAAAATAAAACAAATAAAAAGGACAAAAACACTGTGGCACCTTAAAGACTAACTGTTATATTTTAATGTGAGCTTTTGTGGATGTCCACTTACACATTCCTTCTTCTAATCAGTTTGACCTCTGGACCATAGTGATGAGAACCTTTAAACCTGATCACTGAGCCAACTCCTAGAGGTCTGTAGAAGCCACTAATTAAAATTTACTTTAAAAAAACAAAGACAGATAGAAAGGAAAATTGGATGAGTAACTGCTGTGGCTTGCTGAGATATAACCCTCAGCATCTGTTTGGTTCAGCCTCTGCAAAAATACCAGGCATTTATGCTCAGACCAGACTTTTTCAAAGAAAAGGGAAGAAAGGGGAGGATGAAAGGTTGCCACAACTTCTAGATATAATTGATGGCCTCAATTTGCATAGGAAATGACAAGGCTGCTGTTCATTTCTCATAAAAGGATCCCTATTCATGCAAAGGTCAGAATAATTAGCACAAGGCTACTGCTACAGAGGCAGGCAGAGGTAAATATTCCTCAAACCCTTTTTCTATTAGGAAAAAGGTTGAGAGCAAGAGGAAGGGTATGTAAGAAAATAATGATAACCACCAGCATATAGAAGAAGAAAAGATAATAACTCTGAATGTAAAGTGGGTTGATAGTCCTTGCTAATATTGGTGACTCATTAATTGTGCTAATTGAGAGGCGGGGAACCTTTGATTCCCCCAGATGTTTCAAAGTACATGTCCCATAGTCCTTTACCATTACCTATTTTGGGTAGAGTTGATGAAAGTTACAGGCCAAAACTCTCTGGAAGGCCAAATCTTCTCCCCACCTCCCCTTAAAATACAATACACACCTTATTTCTGTAATTGATTGATGCCATAGCTCAAGTCTGCTTATTAAAAAATATTCTCTGGTCTGCAAGGCTTTCCCATTTACAGATGTGCTGATAACCATTCTATACATGTTCTAGACAAGAATACTCCTATTTGTAGACATACTTTGCAGATGCCTTGGCTCTTAAATACAAATTCTCCTGAGGAAGATCTAAGTCCTAATACAAGCAAATTAGTGTTTGTTGTGGATAAAATCACACATAAGTCCAGACTCCTGGATTACTGCATCATGCTTGGGATGTTGTTTTGGCACTTGTGTTGGGTACATTATGAGAAGAATATCTTTGACACCATTACAAGTACTTGCAAAATTCATCGAATTTAGCAATTTTCTGAATCTTACCACTCCCTTCCTCTGTATGAGGAAAATTTCTCAACTTTCCCACAACAACAAACCTTTAGTGTTGTTTTCCCTTTTGTTTCTTTTTTTCATTTTGGGGTTTTGCCTCTTGTTCTGCACAGGGCATTGTCAAATCCTGTATAGCGAAATGCTCATTGCGATGAATCCTGCACAGGAAAAGAGCTGTCCTGTACAGAAATCATAACATTCCAGGGCAGCTTGGCATTTTGTCCAGAAAAGAAAAATACCATGAAGCTTCCACGAAATTCCACAAGATTTACCATAAAATTTCCCAGGATAAATAATATTTCTTACATAAAGAAAGTAGAGACATAAACATGATTCCACCCCCCTTAGTTTCTCTCCAAAAACAAAAGTCTGTGACTGGCAGCCTTTGTTGACACAGTTTGCCCCAAAGAGCCACCATTACTGCATGTCATACAAAGGAATGGAATGGGTCTGTCACCACCCATATTCTCAGGAAATAGTACTGAAGGCATCCCTTTCTACACTTTGGTGTGTGAGATGCATGCCTAGCCAGCAGTAAACTCCTAAAACCACCGGATGGGGAAAACTTCAGCCACAATGCTCAGCTACACAGCTATGATGTGACGGTACTTCACTTTACAATTATGATTATCAACAAGAACACCTCCCCCCCACAAAAAAAAGGCATTAGAGCTCCCACTTTCAAGCTTCTAAATCAGACCTCAAGAATTAGCACATGAGACATGAATTTCTGAACAGTCAGTTGGATTGGATCCTACTGCCCTGTATCAACCTTAGTCAACAAATATCCTTATTATTCACCCTTCTTTATGACTTGCTAGATCTGCAGTTCCAGTTTGGTCTAGATCCACTGTCAAAACATCTTACATGAATACATAAATAAATAGATAAATATTTTTTGCTATTCTAAGTGACAGAGAGTATTCAGGGGA